TGTGTGTGTGTGTGTGTGTGTGTGTGTGTGAGTGTGTGTGTGTGTGTGTATGTGAGTATGTGTGAGTGTGTATTCGTGTGTGTGTGTGTGGTTACACATGCCTGAGGGAGAGTTGAGTGTTTAGTTAAATGTAAATTCTCAGTGAGACACAAACATCATTCAGTGCATCTGTCGTCAAACACCATGAGAATCCTTCTTCAGTGACTCTTCATTCTCACCGTAAGTTCCCCGTTTACTCTGTTCTTGCTATTTAGTTCGTTAGTCTGTTCTTTCTGTAAGGTCCACGCACTTGGCCCAAGGAAGGTATCCAGTGGTGGATGAAGGTTTCTTGTGTGTTCGGTCTTTTCAGCGCGCAGAGTTATTCAATTTAGATTTAACTCAAATCTGACTCCATTTTAGTATGACCTCGAATTTAGGTTGAAAGGCAAATTGGTTGTTTGTCGGTCTCTAATTATTCTGACATTCGATTATTCTAGTTAACTCTTTACTTATATTTACTCGTTCATTAGGAATCTATGTCGCTTAGGATGCCTCACGGCGGCCGCTATGCGTGGGACCCACGATCACAAATTCGCCCAGTCTGATCCTTAGCCAGAGGTTTGTGGCTAATACTATTTAATATACTTTAAATAGTAGGTCTGTTTAGCCCCCTACAGTTACCCATGTAATACTCAAACATTAATCAGCGGTTCTTCTAGAACCCCTTGTCTAGACCCCGATAGTTAGTATAACTACGTACAACTTAATTAATTCTGAGTGAGCTGGGTGAAGAGAAGAATGGGTGCGGAGAAGGAAGGGGATGAGGAGGAACCAATGCATATGTGAGAGACGTTTTCCCGCATTTTCTCTCAGTGAGATGCGGAAACAGATGTCTGTATGTTAATGCACTGTGTGTGTATTGTCTGTCTCAGAAGATCAAAGTATCTGAGTTTCTTTTATCCTTACATTTCTCATAATCAGATGTTCTGTATTTGTCACTGGAGCAGAATTCAGACTGTGTGTGTTTTGTGTCTCTGCAGTCGATCTCAGCAGCAGACGAGACGCTTTAATCAGGCTTTGACACAGCATTATGCCTTTACACAGAATTTTGAGCAAGCACAGAGCAGTCTTAAGTCAGCTGTGTAAAGATGCTTATAAAATTCTCAAAGTTTATTCTGACTTTGTTGACAAATGAATTGAACAGGTGTTCTCAAGCAGATCTAATTACCTTGAAGAGACGGAATGGAAATCTCCTGGTGAAGATGAAGCGTTTACTTCACAAGTGAATGAATCTTTAACAGGACATGATTACACAGAGATGTTTTCACAATAACAAGAAATCAGTGCTGGTCAGGAATCATCTGACCGCTGAATCAGAATCAATCATGCCAGAGAGTCGTGTAAGAGTTTAGAGAGAAGAAAAAGCACTGAATAATTCATCTTCAATACTATTTGAGTTATTATTCAGTGCTATCATGATTTGACTGCACTGACATTATTGGATAAGAATAAACAAAACTTGAATTGAACTGATCTGAATGATGAATCTATTGCCTTCTGGAGCTGCTTTACAGCTGAATTGAACTTGTTTCATAATCGACGAGCTTTACACAGTTACTGAACTGAATCTAAACTGAATTCTTAGAGATGCTTTACTTAAATTTACATCATTGTTGTTTTTCTGTATTGTAAAGCGCTATAGGCTACAAATTGAATCTATTCAATTCAAAATTGCTTTATTGGCATGACTGTAAATGATACAATATTGCCAAAGCTCATAAACTAATTGTATCCTGACAAGACGAATAAAAATAAGAAATAAAATTTTTGTACAACATTTTTATTTTCTCTGACACTTTTTTTTCCTACTGTGTTGCATAAAATATGAAACTAATTTTGTGTCTTCCTGAAGTGTCCTCTGATCCTACGCCGCCATACGGCCGATCACTGACCAGTGCGGTCAAGTTTAACCTCCGTGACTGACAGATTTACAGGGTTTCTGCAGGTCTTACAAAGTCTTTAAGGACTAAAAAAACTTAAATCAGAGCACAAAGCTTTAAAGTTGATATGATTCTTCTTCAATTACACTGCAAAAAATGATTTTCTTCCTTAGTATTTTGTCTTGTTTTCTAGTATAAAATCTACAAATTCTGGAATTAAAATGCATTTACTTGACATGTAAAATGACCTAAGATATATTGTCTTATTTTCAGAAAAAAATATCCAAATTTTGTTAGTATTTGCTTAAAACAAGCAAAAATACCTGCCAATGGTGTAAGAAAAATAATCTTCTTTAGCCTTTGAATTAGGATTATTTTTCTTACACCATTGGCAGGTATTTTTGCTTGTTTTACAGAAAACAAGACATTTCTTAAGTCATTTTACTTGTCAAGTAAATGCATCTTAATTCCAGAATTTGTAGATGTTTATACAAGAAAACAAGACAAAAATACTAAGTAAGAAAATCATTTTTGTAGTGTAGCTGGCTATCTACATAGAAACCAGCTGTAAATTGAAATGGCTCGCTGGATGACAGTTTCTGATTCAGACGGACTGTATCGAAGTGGCTGTGTGTTTTCTTTTCAGCTTTTCTGAGCCGGCAGACACGCCAGAAACCCAACTAAATGCAAAAGAAAAAAGGTAAAAGAGGCTCAAATTTCATCTGACGTCCCCTTTAAATTCATAAAGTCATGGCTTCATGCACTGCAAAACAGAAATATTTCTCGCTCCACACACATCGTCTTCCGATTTTTCTGTTTGAGACAATAAATGCTCTTGTTTTTAATCCTGCATGTGATGCGGCTCACCGTCACTGATCGATAATGTAAAACTCAGACGAGTCTTCTTGCACGTGTCCGTTTTTAACAAGTGTGACATAGACATATGACGGTATCAAATTTTCATGTTGCGATTTAATTGCTAATGCTTTTATCACGGTATGCAGTATTATCACGATATTGAAATTTTGTTGCAAAAAAGTGTTGTCATAATAAAGTATAACAGGTTTAATAACTTTTTTCTTATTACAAAAAGAACTGAACATTTAAATACAATAAAGCAATACACAAAGAATGTATAAAGTAAAAAAAATTCTCAAACATTAAAGTGCAAAAGAATGATAAAGACCAATAGGTAACACTTTACAATAAGATCTCATTAGTTAACCTTAGTTAATGCATGAATATTAACAATGAGCAATAGCTACATTTGCTACAAAAGTTATTAATCTTTGTTGAAAAATAAAACTGTTAGTTCTAGTAGCTCAAGTTCATTAAATAACAGAGTGTGATATTAAAATGAATGAATGTTTAGAAGAATTTTTCATTGGCAGTTTAACTTATGAATTAATTTATGTTAACTAATGGAGCCTTAATGTAAAGTGTGACCAGCAAAGAATCAAAACATTTTCAAACAATATCTAGAGCATGGTGTAGTCCAGATTAAAATGTGAAAATAGCCTATTAAGTCTAAATATTTAAAGGGCTCACCCAAAAATGAAAATTCTCTCATTAATTACTCACTCTCATGTCATTCCAAACCCGTAAAGACCTCCGCTCATCTTCAGAACACAAATTAAGATATTATTGATGAAATCCGAGAGCTCTCTGACCCTCCATAGACAGCAACACAACTGCAATGTTCCCAGACCCAGAAACGTAGTAAGGACATCAGTAAAATAGTCCATGTGACATCAGGGGTTCAACCATAATTTTACGAAGCTAAGAGAATACTTTTTGTGCGCAAAGAAAACAATAATAACAATTTATTCAACAATTCTTCTCCCCGAGTTACTGTCTTCCGCCATTTAGGAGAGTACTCCAGAACGTAATCAACGTAATCAGCGTCGTTGACGTTCAGTCGAAAGAGCGCGTTTTATCCTGAACGTAAACAACGCTGATTACGTTGCTTTAAATCCTTTTCAGAAATTGAAAGTAGCAGCTGCTTTGTTTACGGGGTTTCGGGGGTAACGGCTGCATTTCTGCTGCACTGTAAAAAAAAATCTGTAAAATTTACCGTAAAAAACCGGCAGCTGTGGTTGCCAAAATTTTACTGTAAAAAATAAGGTAGCAACGTTTTAGGTTTTAACTTAAATTTACAGTTAAATACCGTAATTTCATTAACTGATATAATGTTAATATACCAACTTATTGAAGTACTGAAATCTGTTTTGTACCTTTGTAATACACTGATAACCACCCAATGCAGGTGGTGATGAGAAAGTCACATGATGAACCAAAGCCCATCACAAGCAGCTTCTATATATGTTATTATTTAAAAGCTGCTTGTGATGGGCTTTGGTTCATCATGTGACTTTCTCATCACCACCTGCATTTGGTGGTTAT